CAAACCCATAAGTGTATACTCATAGCTAGACTTGAAACACCTTTAGAAGTGAAATCTTCAATCTTAGAAAAATAGAGTATAACCTTGATTCTTGACAAAGTGCAACCAAAACCACCTAATCTTATGGGCACTATATATATATATATTTTGAATAGCAAAAGAATTATATTAAATGAGTACAAGGGGTACTCAACCCATATACATCTATAAGATCAGCAAAATGCTAGCCCTGGGGTCTAAAAGCAGAAAAACAAAAGCCACCCTAGTCAAAGAATTGGGAACTATCTTCCCGCCTATCCTCTATTTCTTGGTAATCAAACATCTCACTAGATTAGAAATCCAATCTATAAAAGAAATGTGTTCTAGATTCAATAGAGTTCTAACCCAGTGAAATGAGCAAGTTTGTACGCGTTCGAACAGCTTATCCTGATTGAGCTCCTTTTGTTGAAAAGCGATTTCATTTCTACTCAACCACATTGACCATACTATGGCATACCACATCATGTTCCATCCCTTTTTCAGATTTTTTGGACCCTTTAGCCATCTTTGTTGGTGGAAGACCTGCATACATGTGTTTTCGAGGACATAACGTAGGCCCCACCAATTTATGCATCTAGTCCATAACTTGTAAGAAACTTTGCAAGATAGAAATAGGTGATCTGTATGTTCAGAGCATGAATCACACCAATAACACATGATATTTTGAGTATCATTTAAAATTCCACGTGTTGCCAAATTGACCTTTGTAGGGATTCTATTTAAAAGCATTTGCCATGAAAAAGCAATCACTTTTGATGGTACCTATTCACCCCACAACTCTTTATAATCGAGCTTTTTGTGTTCATCCATATTTGCAAGCCATTCATATGCCGACCTTGTAGTATTATTTCCCCCATCTGCTAGTTTCTAGCTCTATGTGTCTTTGGCATTTTGCACCAGCTTTGTGTCCTTTATGGCCTCAAGCAATTTTTGTAGTGAGTCCTCTTCCCAAGCTCGAAGTGTTCTTCTCCACTGTAATCTCCAACTCCAGCACCCTTTTGTCCATTCTCCCATATCTTGTATGCTGCCATTTTTCCTGTGGCTAGTGAAAAAAGTCTAGGAAAAGCATTAGCTAATGACTCCCCCTTCACCCACACATCTTTCCAGAATTTAATGGACTGCCCATCCTCCAAATTCAACTTGAATTTTGATTCCAGCCATCCCTCTTTAATTCCTAAGTTTGTGTTTAATTTGCAAATGTCTTTCCACCAAGATGATCCTATACCTCAATCTTCTCTCATCCTTTCTAGCCAATTCCCTTCATCACTTCCATATTTTTCTTTTAGTACCCTACTCCATAATCCCTTCTCTCCTCCTATTATTCTCACCCACCATTTTCCAAGCAAGGCCATATTAAACAATCTCAAATTTTTTACCCCTAAACCTCCCTCTTTTTTTTATATAGCAAACTCTATCCCAAGACACCCATGCAATCTTTCTACCCTCCCCAATGCCCCCCCATAAGAAATTCCTTCTAATTTTATCAACTTCATATATTACCTTTTTAGGGAGTAGGTGGAATGACATCAGAAACACTGGTAGACTTGATAGCATAGCGTTTATGAGGGTGATTCTTCATCCAAAAGATAGGAATCAATGTTTCCATAATGAGAGTTTTCTTCTGCACTTCTCGATTAGGGGTTTCCAAGTGTCTATTCTCCTTGGGTTTGCCCCCAATGGCACTCCCAGATATTTGCAGGGAAGAGAATCTATCCTGCATTTCAGCATCCATGCCATACTTGTGGTCCATTCTTCTTCAGTGTTAACTCCTATTAAAGAGCTCTTCCAATAATTTACTTTCAAGCCGGACACCAATTCAAATGCTCTCATGATGCATTTAACTGTCCATATATTGTTTTCTGTTGCTTCACCCATAAATACTGTGTCATCTGCGAATTGCAAGTGGCTGATCCTTAGCTTTCCATCTTGGACTATTACTCCCTAAAGGAAGCCTTTTGCAATAGTTGTTGAAGTTAGTCCATTTATAGCTTCTGCCATTATCAAAAATAGGAATGGGGCTAGCGAGTCTCCTTGCCTGAGCCCCCTTGACATGGCCAACTCTTTGGTGGCACTTCCATTAATTAGAACAGACACTGTGTTAGATTTTAAGCATTCTGATATCCATCCTCTCCAGACTTTATTGAAGCCCATTCTCTCCTTCATATAATCAAGAAAAGACCAACTGACATTGTCATATGCTTTTTCAAAGTCAATTTTGAAGATAAAGCCCGTGGATTTTTTCTTCCTCATCCCCTCAATTGCTTCATTCGCGACCATCACTCCATCAAGTAGATGTCTTCCCTCAATGAATGTTGATTGTGTCTCTTCGATGATTGTGGACAGTACCTTACTGAGTCTATTTGCTAACAATTTGGCCAAAATTTTGTATGTGCATCCATTTAGAGAGAGGTCTATACTCCTCGATGCCTTGGGGATTTTCTGTCTTTGGTATTAAAACAAGAAAGGAGGCATTTGAGCCCCTTACCAATCTGCCATTTTTATGAAAATCTATGAGGAACTTCATGACATCAGCTTTAATCACCTCCCATTGATTTTTTAACAAACCGAAGCTAAACCCATCTGGACCTGGTGCTTTGGAGCTGTCACAATTCCAAACTGCCAATTTCACTTTATCTTCAGTGAACAGTTGCGTGAGCATACATCTGTCTACCTCTGATATTGACTTGAATTTCAACCCCTCTAAAGTTGGCCTCTTCCATCCTTCATCGGTAAACAAGCTTGCATAATACTTCATGGTACCTTCTTTAATATCTTCCACTTGCTTCAATACCTTGCCTCCTACAGAGATTTCATTTATTTCATTACTACGCCATCTCCATCTTATCGGCACTATAAGTATGCTTTTACATGAACTTACAAAAATTGGAATAACAAATTAAACATTAGTAAGTTTCAACTAACAAAAAAAAGAAAAGAAAAAAAGAAAAGAACAAATCATAAATATATGAGAGCAGTGTAAGAAAACGAAAAACAAGTAATCTGCAGAACAATATATTAATTACTAATGAAGCCAATCAAAAGATACAGTTATCCTTGTGGACCAATAAAACTAAGATGTAAGTTCATCACAAAGATAATATTAACTGCTTGTATGATGCACCTTCAATAATTGAGTATTGCTCTAGGATGATTTCTAAACAATTATATATTGAAGGAATCATATATCACAAATAAATAAATATATATAATAAATACACTATTAAAAAACATAAACATAGTCCAAAACAATATATGTATATATGATCAAATGAATAAAGCCAAAATCACAAAATATTCTAAAGAAACAATTGAATAAA